GGCCTGGAGTGAGTTTCTGTGAGGTATCTGAGGGTGGAGTTTCCTTCTATAAAAATACCCATCAAATATCAGCCTACTGAGTCAGATGGAAAGTCCAGTTGTAGCAGAATTATAAAAGGTGAGTCACAGTGTGTGTGTGTGTGTGTGTGTGTGCGCGCATGCGTGTGGAGAGGAGAGAGAGAGATAACTGCCGCCATTAACTAACAACAAAAATTTTCCAAATTTCAATTACTTTCGACTGACTTACTGCACCAGATGAAGTTTACTGAACTTTTCTGAACTTACTGACACGTCACTCCCCAGGTAAAGATGGACTAAGTTGTTGTAATGAATGTAATTGGTAAAGACGTCATCACTGAAGCAGCCTTGTTCAGTGGGCAGTGTGCAAAATGGAGCATAAAAAGAAGGAACTAAAGAACCAGATTATTCCCTCAGGATTTAGATTTGTAAATTGGCCAGTGACACGTCTCCAGATAAATGATAATGTTGCTTTGTGTCTGCTGGACGTGTACTTAGGTAACACGTTTTTTGCTATCACATTCATGATAACAATTTACAAGGGGACAATATGTCAGTTGTGTTTACGGCTTGTTTCTACGGCACTCAGGTGGCCAGGACATCAGTTAATGCAGCTTTAATCTTAATACAAATCAAGCCTGCATTTGAATATGTAAGCTTGTTTTGGTGTCCGTTTGTTTGCTGGCTGGTGTGGGCCTCTGCACCTAAACTGTCAATGATTTGCATTTCCGATGTTTTCAGTGAAGTATAACATTACACCACTCCCTGAAGTTGGTTCCAACTTCACAATCACAAGTCTGTTCAGGCTGTTGATGCAAATCCACTGAGAAACACTAACTATTAAAGCGGACACCTGAAGTGTTCAAAGACGAGGTATAAAGCAGCAAATACACCGTCAACACATATGTTATACAGTTTTGTGACAGCTTACCTTCAAAGCTCCACTTCTGATGAAGTTGTCTCTGCTGAAGTTGTGTATATATATGCTGCACTAAGTGAAGTTCAAAGGCATTGTCACCTATCCTCAAGTGTCTTCCAGTGAAGACAACTTTGGTTATGCATGTGTGTGTGTGTGTGTGTGTGTGTGTCTGTGGATTTACTCGTATGCGTCTGTTTGTCTTTTGCGTGCATGCTCATGTATACTGTGTGTGTGCGACAGAGAGCAAACAGAGAAAGCTGAGCTGTGCGGGGCATTTCTTGTATAATAACTGAGCGCCTTATTGAGGCTGGTTGAATTTTAATAGAGTTCTGCGGGGTATTCCATCGCCTCTGGTCCCACGGCTCGAAGATCAGAGAGAATTTTCAAGCACGGTGTCCCTCAGCCTCTCACACTCTCTCCCTCTCTCTCTCATTCTTTTTCTCGTCCTCCCTTTTTTCCTCCACTGCTCTTCCCATTTTTTGCACTCTCCCTCTTTTTCTCATTTTGAACTCCCTTTTCCAATCCTTTCCTTCCTCTTGGGCTTTTGTCTCTCTCTTAATCCCTTTCTGTGTCTCACACTTTCTGTTGCTTTCTCTCCCCACTCTGTCTCCCTGTGAAATTTGTATTAGAGCCACTTGAGGCGTAATTATTGCTAAGCCTCTCTCAGCTCCCTGGCACAGAGAACAACTCATGACTCTCAGCACAAAAACTTGCTACTGAAGGACAAAATGCTGTGATGAACTTTTAAAATCATGCACAATGGCTGACAAAATGTTTGGATAGTTTTTTCCAGGCACAGAGATTATACAACAGAAAGCTAATTTTCTCACTGCCTCACAGCCATAAGGAGTTTTTTTTTTTTTTTTTTTACTCATATCTAAGTTCTACAAGCTCAAAATTTATGGAAGATGTTGCACATTTATAATTCAGACACCGCATTTACATATGTTCTAACACTCCACACATGCACTATAGACCACGTGTAGGTGCAAGTGCAAGCTACAGACTGATCTATTGATCCTTGAAGGCCAAAGCTTGGAAGTAATTAGAAAAAAAGGAGAGAGACGACAGAAGCGCACAGATGAAGAAAATGTGGTAAACCTCAGCCGCCATGTCAGCAACATGGCGTGCAAACAGTGCACAACAGAAAGAAACTAAAAGAGCTAGAGCGAGTAAAAAAAAAAAAAAAAAAGTCTTGAATGGTGGATTTGATTTGTGTTTTTTGTTTCACTTGTGTGCATGTTGGAGTGAGAAAGTTGGCAAGAGACTGCTGATGATTACTAATTCATAAGGATTAATGGTTGCTATTTAAAAACCCACCATTCTGAGGAGAGCCGAACGAACGTTGTGTCTTCTACCGGGACCATAAGACAAAATATGCCCCTGGCTAATCTTACATGAACACGGCTCATAAAAATTCAACTTTGCAGCAATTTGGCACTGGAAATGAGAAAATGAGTGTAGTTATGCATGAGTTCATGTCACCCAAATAAACTGTCTCTGGTTAACACAAGTGGCTTGACATTTAGGTAATCTTATTAAATATCTTAGACATTTCATCAGACACAACGGTCATTAGTCAGAGTAAGAGCTATTTTACCAGTAGTATGATATCTAGAGTTGCTAAAGCAAAGATAACTGGACTTTTTGTACATTTTTTGAAGATGTTTGTTTTTCTCATCCAAAAGGTTTGTTCAGTTATGACTGACTGGTGGGGCGCCCCAGGTGTTATTGTGTGGCCCTATCCTGTGAAAGTGAATGTTCACAAACAGGACCACGGTGCTCGCTGCAGTGATCTCCCATGACACTGTAGCATTAGCACAAAACTTGTTTTCGCAATCTGTTTCTATACTATAAGTGATAGGATTCTATATGAACACACGATTTTCTGCCAAAGGTAAACCATTTTGGGTTAATTCAAGAGATTTTTGTATTTATTTTCCTCTGATCTCTAGGAAAAATCTGATCTCACATATATCTGTGTACAAAAAAATGATTCTTCAACATCGTTGCCAGAATATGATGACAGTTGGTGGGTTGTTTGGTCCCAACACAAAACTGCCTCCTACACGGTCCTGATGGAGCAGATTAGAGTTGTTGAGTGTTTAACTCTATCTAAATAATAATAACTGAGGATATGTTGGTTTTTTTTCACTTTGATGCTGATTCACTGATAAATATTTAATGTTACAGAGAAATAGAGATTTGATGGCTTAAAATAAGTTTTAAAAAAAAGAACCAAACGTAAAAAAAAGGTTGCTAAAGTCTATTAAGGTGAGGCATTTTGTGTTTAGTTTGATCTCATAACTTTATATTGGGTCTATTTGGTATTTACTTCAATTCACTTCCACACAAACATGAACAGATAACCATAAAATAGTTTTGCAAGTCAGCGTGTACTTTTACACGCCTTGAATTATTATAAACATTTTGTCACTAGTGAAAACAAGCAGTGCTTTTTACCATTCCATAAAGATTATGTGACAACATCCACTTACTACAGTCTGTTTCCTCCTATTGTATCTAGGACACATGTATCGATCTGTGCTGTCTAATGTCGCCCCCATGTGGCAACAGGTGTTGTAGCACATAAGGAGAACAATTGAAAGATGTCACTTGGCACAGATGATGACATCTGTATGAAACTATCTTTACTTTTAACAGGGAAAAAGCAAAAGTGAATTAGGAGAGTTTACACAGACACACTAACTATGAAATCGGTCAACATTATTTCTACTCTAGATTTAATGGCAAACCTCTTGATAATGGAGTTTGGTTAGTTTGACAGTTGACAGTAAAGTTTTATCATAGTTCTTAATTGGAAGTTGGTTCGTACTTCACTTTGAAGATGCCTTCAGGTTGAAAGCCAAATATTGGCATTAAGATGCATCCCATGTGTCTGCTGTATCAGGGCGTGTGATTAACTTTACAGGTCTTTAAGTACAAACTAATCCCTTTAATTCTGTATTTTGACTATACAATAGCCGAATCACCCACGTTCTCAGGCATGAGACAAAGAAAATTGATTTCTTAATGTATTCTGAAAATCCCCTGTCAATTATGTTTAGCCTACTCCTTTTGCTAAATCAGCATATTAGCGACTGTCTCAACTCTGTCCTACAGTTCATAAAGGAACTTTCCCTTTTACATCATGAACTCACTCAGTACTTATGGGATACTGCATTCGGATTACACTGAAAAGTGAAACTTTTTGGTCTCATCTGGCCCATCTTTTTAAATTCTATATGACATTAAAACATCTTCCACATTTTCTCTCTGCACAGCTGCAGCCCCCTGCTTCCCCCTGCGAGCTGTACAGAACAAGGCTGTTAAGAGACATGTTCCCCACCATCAATGATGCAGCACCCCTTTGGACCAATCAAGGACACCAAATCAGTTTTTCCTTAAGTGAAGGGAAAAATATTTTTTAAGAGAGTATCTAACAGGATAATCTCACATGGCACATTTCATTTAACTACATGGCGACCTCCTCAGGGGGAATCAGTGTCGTTTAAATCCCAGATCAGCAGCTAGTTGTTTCATTAGCATTTTTTTTTTAATCAAAAATGAGATAGTGAGTGTAAAAAAGCAAAAATTAATGAAGATAATCCAAATCAGTGTAATGACTAAAGCCAATGTGGTTACTGGTTTGCCACAACATTCAATGGTCATCTGTTCATGCCAAATGTAACAAGGTGCTGGTGGGCAACCCCTGAGTCCTAAATAATCTTTAGTACGAGAAGACTCATGTTAGATTTCTACTTCCAGTATGCATAATGTTTTACATTATTAAAAAACATTATGCATACTGGAAGTAGAAATCTAACATGAGTTGTGGTATTCAATAATGCCATTGAGACAAACAGTGGTTCTGCTAAACAGCTGCCCTGAGTCACAAGATTTACAATTAGAAAACATGAAACAGAAAAGATGAGGAAAAATACACAATCGCAGTCTCCTGTGTTTGAACCTGATACACCCAGTGAAAATAGTTATTGTTACATTTCACCACAGCAGAAAGATACCAAAAAAAAAAAACTTCATCAAAATATCCATAGGCACAAAAAATTCATACAAATAATCCTGGTATTTTCAGTATGAGTGATTATATGGATAATCACTATATAATACAAAACTCATGAGCAAACCAAACATCTGATACACCTTTATTATTCTGAAGAAAAGAATAATGTGTATAAGATCAGAAAAATATAGAACTTAATCATGTTTAATCTTACTTTAAAGCCCCTATGTGTAGTAATGCTATGTGTATATGGCATGTGTCAAATTATTCTGATGGCATCAAAAGTTTCTCTTTGTAGAAAAGTAAGACAATCACTGTGAAAATTGGTAGGCATCTTGGGGTCTTTTTTTTTAGTACAGCCGCCAAAGTTTTCTATTCCTACACATAGGAGCTTTAGATTCATAAAAATAAATAAACAATTTAATATGACATCACAAATATATTAAGATTCACATCATATGAGGAGAAGTTTCAGGACATCCTGGAAACATTAGACAGCACCCTTTTCAGCTAAACTTACATTGCAATCATCAAAAATCACAATACTTTAAAGGGTTTCCTCAGCTTATTGGTTGATTCACTGGTAAAAATTAATACCTTACACCAAAAGATGTAAAGCTGTTTTTTTCAACATACCAGGCCTAAAACTATGCATCCCATTTGAGTGCAATTCAAGTTCAAGTTGATCCTAGTGTGGAAATGCATCACTCTTTTGTTGTTGTTCTTGTCATTTATGACTGATTTACATGTCATTTTTAGGATACGCAGCACACAAGGGCCTGCCACACTTTGTCATTACCAAGTGTAAGAGAGTCCACTGCTGGAGGAGAGGCTATCTGCCCCCTCTTCGTTGGACAACTATGGTCCCTGCCACAATATCATACACAGTCCTGTTGTGTTGGAAGAAGAGGAGAGTGATGAAGACAGGAAAGAGGAAGGCAATGGAGAAGTTCTTATTCAGCGCCCGCACTGTGGAGCTGTGACAACCAAGATGAAGGAGACAAGACAAAACACAAGGTTAGAGAAGCCCCACATAAGATGCTCTACATGTATTAGACACTACTAGAGACATGACACCACCACAGATTCTAACTTGGACAATCAAATGCTCATTTTAAATCTAGACCAAATCAAAATATTTTACAATGTTTTGAAGTAAAGTGCATTCCTCTAAATGTTCTGCTCACAGGACATTTACCTAAACACAGCACACTTATGTGCTATTAAAATCAATATGATGTTTCTTCTACCCAAGCAAAAAGTATGTGATGACTCACGCAGAGAGCGAAACATTAGACGCTGGGACCACAAAGACTCGGTTGGGTCGGACCAGAGTGGATGTGTCACATGTCACCACCCGCAAGCCAAGCAGGAACTTCCCTGGAGTGGCACCACCAGCACCCCAAATACAGATTATCTGATTGGACAATATTAAAAAAAAAAGTCAAACAACAACCAGGTAGACTCCTGACAGTGTTAGAAAAATGGATTATACAACAGAGTTAAAATGGGTGGGCATGGGAGGAAATATGCCAGATGGCATTAGTCTGCACAGAGGTGCCCCAATGTCCCAGCGCTGGTTCCCACCTGGGAAAACAAGCCACTGATGCAGAAGTCAAACAAGAGACCTGATGCATGACTTCATCTCAGGCAACTATGAATGCAACGTTGCATCACTGTCCTGGGAAACAATGTTGTGTTGTAGAGGAACTCTGACTCTGCACGACTCTTCTTCATTAAACAAGAGCATGTGGTAATGAGGCAGCTTGAAATGAATGTGAATGGACAAAATGGGAAATGTTATATATATATGTATATATATATATATATATATATATATATATACACATATATATATATATAATGAATTTGGATGTCCCTAGCATTTTGCTTAGCATTACAAATAAACATTGTGTCTTCCTCACCTGGGAAAAACCTCCATGCAATACTCAAATAAAAGTAGTATTCAAGTGTTACTCCCAGATTTTTTTCAGCAGTCACATCCCCTCCCTGTAGACTTAAAAGATGTTACTATATGTTGTATGTGGATCAATGTGAAATTATGTCTTGGCAATATATTCGTATTTATCAAAATATATACCCTGCCATTATCAAGGCAGTGTGAAATGTGACCCACCTCATAGACACACACTAGCACCCTGTAGACCAGAGCTACAGCCATCATCTTCTGCAGGTCCTCCATGGACGTGTTCTCATCTATCTCCTCCACAATGAAGTGCGTAATGAATTTGGCAATGTCCCTTTAAAGAGGAGAGCGAGTACACCTGTGTGAGGATGGATCCGAGCAATGTTGAAGCAACTTGTCATAAAAGCAATGAAGAAATATCGTTCGGTCATGCAAACTGTCTGTTTTGAATAACTGACCCACAGTTACACCACTGTCAGCTGAGCCTGAGAAAAACTAAAACACTGTGTTTACATAGTTCAGTGTTTACTGACAGACTGAAATGGTTGATTAGATTTTTTTAGACTCTTTTCCTTGTCTTCATTTGTTTATCCTTTTAGTTCAAAAGTTCAGTTTCTCTCTAAAGCTTTACTCACTTCATCCCACTCAGATGCATGATCCACAGCACAATGGTGGCCTTCACACAAAACAGGATAAAGAAGTCCACTGTCTCTGCCAGGAACCTCTGGAGAGGAGAGGGGATGGTGTACTCTCTTCCTGTGAAGCAAATGGAAAGTATACTGAAAATGTTTTTTTTTTCCTAATGGGACATATTCTGCATTAGCCTAATTTATAAACCCAAATAAATAATCATGAATCACTGACCAGTTGCTCTACTGAAAGTTACCAAAGGTTCTCAGAGGACTCAGAGAAACCTTTGACAGACTAAGCATATAAGCTTGTTTCCACAGGACCATATACTTAACCCTGCTTGCCAACGGACTCATGACCTAGCTTATTCAAAATAGAGCACACATTACTGGAGGCTGAACAGCATTTTGAATAAACTAGGCCGTTGACGACTAGAGCAGCTCACTGTCAAACGCAGCATTAACTTACCTGCCTGAGGTGGATTCCCATTCTGCTGCTGGGCAGCAGTAGCCGGGGCTGGGGTCGCGGCTGAGTTCAGCTCGGTCTGGGCACCACCCGGACGAGTGGAGGATGCGGGGAAACTGAGGGGATAAGGGTAGCTGTACCAGCTTCGCGTGTCAACTGCCTGCTGTCCACCGCCGGAGGTCGACGCAGGTGTAGCCGGTGTCTGTGCACTTGTCCCCGGCGGAGGGAAACTGCACGGCGGAGGAAAGGGCAAGGCTGACAGGGCCACCCAGCTCTGCCAGTTGGCATACCCCCAGTAATACTGCCACATCCACTGCTGCAACTTTGCGCAGTATTCCGTTGTAACAGTAGCTTCAGGCTGCTTTGCGCCTGCTTCGGGACCGTCACAGCGGTTGTCGCTCGCAAACATGTCTGACCCACTTCACAGGTTAATGTAATGTGACATGAAAGTCTTTTTCAACGTCTTCTCCCCCGCAGGTAATCCTTCCTTCCCTCCGGTCCTTAGCTCCCTGTTAGGTACAGGCTAAGGTAAGTATGTTTGTAAATACAGGGATTTCCTGAACCGCTTTACGTCACACGTTGCTTTCCAGATTGATGTCATTCAATAATATTTCGGTAATTCAAATTAAACAATTATATGTCACTTGCAAATGCAATACCTACTTGATCTATGCTGCAAAAATCAGTAAAACACGATCATGTCGTGAAAATGCGAACAACAACCCCCCTTCTGTCGTTAATGGTATAAGCCATTTAAAGGAGCATTGTGTGTATTTTCGGTATTTTCTCAATGTTCAGTAACAGCTCAATCATCAGACACAAAATTAACTTTCTTATAGCACCTCGTAGAAACAAAGACTATTTATTACAAAACTGTTAAAAATATGTATTTGTAGTCTCACTTTTTACTTTTGTTTTAAGGAAATGTGAGAATTTATAGAGCTTTTATAGACCTCTTCGTGTTAATATAAAAAGCCCTCTCATCTACCAGTATTGTTACCAGTATGTCTCTTCTCAAATATATTTTGATGCTATGTATCACTAAATGTTTAAGTTACATCAATGTGACTAGTTTAATTAAAGGACAGATATACTGTATACCAGCTATTGTGGATGGAACAGGTTCAGCAAATTTCACATTGTAACTGTGACATGAGGGAGAACATATATTTACATTGGCTAGATAAATAAAGTTGACCATTATCACCAAATTCCACCAATAGCAATTTTGAGTGTTGTATTTGTTAAATATTTATATAATTGAAGGGAATTCAACATCAGCTTAAGGCCCATAATACTTACCTTGCAGTGTCACTACAAACTAAATAACTCCCTTTACTAAGTTGAAGTGCTCTGTTTATTATTACAGTGATGACTCTCTGCGCCCAGGCTCTTATTTCTATAACAAACAGTTGTGGAAATAGAAATATAATGCAGGGCGGTCCTCACTAAAAGAACTCAGACTTTCAGTTGCACCACAAGAGAGCAGCAGAGGCCCATTGATCCAAATTCATAACACACCAAATACAACCAACAGAAGAATCTCTTTTCATATATGTAGAAGTCATTTTATGCATTATATTATGTTATACAATATTATGAGCTCAGTTACTCAAATTAGAAAACAGTTGCTTTTTGTGCACGTTTCAAGATGCTTACTTCTTCCCACATCTTTTGACCATTTATATGTAGATCCCAGAGTTGGCAGGTGTGAGTTTTGGCCTGCAGCCACATTTAGGAATCCCATGCATCTAAGTTCAGTGACAAATCAGTCGTTTGCCACAGAGACCATTGAGGTCAAAAACTCAAAACTCTGTAAAAGCTGCTGTGGAAGTGGCTTTGATTCAAAAGACCTGCTGGCTGATCAGCTGATGATAGCTCTCCCTCTCTCTCTTCCCTCTCTCAATGTCAATTTTCAATTCACTGTGCTTCATTTGTGTGAATATCAGGTGGACAATAATTTCTTTCTCTTTCTCTTTCTCTTTATGTCTTTCCCTGAGGAGTTGCTCACTCATGACTCCCACTTTCTTCCCTTCCATCTGTGCTCTTACTTCTGTCTTTTTCTCTCTCTGTCTCCCCATTTCTCCTATTTTACTCTCCCCTCCTCTCTGATTAAAGGGGTGAGGGGTGGGGTGGGGTGAGGGGTTGTATTTGCTGACTGGGCTGGCTTGACTCTGTGGGTTAGGTGTTAGGTCTGCCAGTTCTAAATGACCGTGCCTGGCCCACTGAATGGAGCCAGTGAGGCGGACACCAATCCGACCCCAATGGGCGTTATCCCTGTCGATAGAGGCCATACGATGACTGTGCCCAAAAGTAATCGGGCCCAAATAAAAGCTGTGTCCGGCAAACGCTGACCCCCATAGAAACCCAACAACCTGGTGGGATTACTGCTGTGGAGGTGTGTGTGTCTGTGTGAGTGTGAATGTTGTAGGACGGGTGAGTGAATAGGGGAGTTTGGTTACTATACTGGTGGTGGCTGAGCAGTGAATCACTCAGAGGTGTAAAGTAACCAAGTACACTCGCTCAAAGCACTGAAGAATAGTTTTTAAGTAGGACTTTTATTTTTGCGAGATTCATGACTTTTGCTCCATTAAATTTACCGAAGGAAACACTTTAGTTGTTATTCAAATTCATTTCTACATTTACTCCATTAGTTTTGATGGCTGTAGAATATTATATGCAAAATGTATGATGAGCTCAAAAAAATATGATGAATTAACATTTTGGCCATATTGTGTGACAGATAAAATTGCTCATCTTGGATTCAAAGGAACTTCCATTTGACGGCTGTTTTGATATTTGAAATAAAATGTATTATCTTATTTCCTTTTTGGTCTTACAGTCTAAAACAGTCATTTTAATCGTTTCAACCTACACCAGCTGTTAAAAAGCAGGTCTATGCACCGATCATTGACATGGTGTGGTAAAATACAGTACACCAAAGGAAAGCAATATTAGGCAAATATCTGCCAAATCACCATGAGCAAATATTGAGCACACTGTTACATCAGTAGAGGTCACGTGTGTGTCTTATGGGCTGAGTCGGCTTGAGTCAACACAACAGGTTAATGATACAGTAAATGTTATGGGAGATGAACATCTTGTAACACGGCATACACAGTGCGGAAGTGCCCTTTTTTTTTAAACCTGTGAAGCGCTGTTCTCATTCTTCATTTTAATTCTAATGTCATAGGAACACTTGAGCCACTAAACTCTGGGTCTAGTTGGCACAACGCCCATGCTCTTCATGTGAAGTCAAGTTGACTGTAGAGGCGCATGTTTTTTCATTTGTAGCAGCCTCATGATGTGACATTTACACGCTTCATTTTTACTCAGTGTCACAAGGAAAATGTTTTTTACCATGGCTGCACCCAAACTGCTTGGCTCATGATGAATGCACACACACACACACACACACACACACACACACACACACACACACACACACACACACACACACACACACACTAGTAAGCGTGGAAGATATGCTCCTTCATTCCATTCATTTCATTTTTACTCTTTAAAAAACCCTGTGCACACCGCTGAGTGTGAGGCAGACAGCAGGGTGAGCGAACTGTTCAATGACCTAAAAGGTACACACAGTTCATAGAGTTCCTGTGAATAAAGGTTGCTGTGTCTATACAGGGTGTGTACCATGCCCCTAGACATACACGACAGGAACAAGGTCAACAAATAACCTTAATTGCTTGGAAATGCCCTTCATGGACTTATTTTTATTGTGTGTTTGGTCTTAATGTCTGTTTTTTTTCCCAGGATACAGTCCTTATTCCTCATTGCAGGAAAAAAATGCTTATTTTAAGAGTTGCAATTAATGAACATTTGCATCTGTTGGCCTTATTTATTTTTTGCAAATTTGAAGTTAATTTAGAAAGTGGGTCATCTTTGGAGGAGTTTTTCATGCTCAGTTAATTAAATTGTCTTTAGTCATATGGCAAGGAAACATGAAATCTTGAATTAAGTGGCATTTGCCCTATAGCAGGCTGACTGTCAGAGCGCACTATTTACTCTTGTTAAAACAAGGGATTCCTACAGTCAAGGAATTTAATCACAGTTTACATAAAGGCTCTATAGATAACAGCATATCACTGGTCTTAGTCAGTGATGCTGGGGGGTGGGGGGGGTGGGGTACTTAACAAAAAGCACTGACTCTTGGATCTTCAAATGTATCATTCAGATAAGTTTGTCAGGAAGCTCAGTGGGAAATATTCCCCTCTAGTTCATGTGGGAACTCAAGATTTAGCTTTCTGCAGATTTGGCTTTATTCTATGCTCATGCGGTTTTCGTGCTGGCATGTTGCCTTGTACAACCACGTACTGGTCTGAGCTCTCGGTGCACAGTGATTTAGCCCAGTCTGAATGTGTCCAGTGGGTCGAAGGTTAAAGAAATGAACAAAGCATTAGTCAGAGAATGTGGGGAACGGGGTCACTCACATCCTGTTTTGAGAGGGTATGGAGGGCTGCTGTCATGTGATTTATGTATAAGTTAGTAAGACTGTTTATGTGATGGTTTTAATCCATCAACTAGAACACGCTATAATGAGAGCAACAGGGGATATTCAGGTTCCACAGTAGTAATTACAGCCTCAAACAGGACTAATCTCTTTGATCCAAGAGTCTGTAATGCTTACACAGTCGTTCCTTCACTGTGATTTGTGCTTGTACCCTTTCAGATCAGTTCCTTTCATCAAATCATCAATGTTGTAGTAATAAGTACAACTTTTTGCAGCTGATGCATGGGAAATGTGACTAGAATAAAGTGTTAAAGACAAAAAAAAAAAAAAAACAGCTTAATCTGCTGAGGCAGCAGAGGGAAGTCCGTGCTACCTTTGGCCCAGAGAAGAGAAAAATCCCTCTGAGATTCTGTGGCTTTGTCTTATATGTGTAACAGTGAGAACCAATTAAGTGAATTATGTCTGCTTCCCTGGAGCCCTGACAGGAACACCCAAGGGGGAGAGTGAGAGTACAACTGCTCCCCCACCGGCTCCTGCTTCAAGTAAAATTCCCCTCATCTTCCTCCTCCTCCTCGGCGCTTTAACCCTCACCTAATTCTCTTTATTTCCTGCATCTTTAACGTCTGTGCACATATTCACCTTTCCCCCCTGCTGCTGGCACACTGTGGTGAGGTGAGGGGTCCATCACGTAACAATACCACATTCCTTTCCTTTCCCCTCTTACCTACAGCACTTCTCTGCTTTTTGTCTCATCTTTTGCCAAATCTACTGTACGCTCCCTGCCCTGCACCAAAAGGAAGACAGATGAAATTTGCAAATAGCTGTTGAGCATAGTGGAACATGTAGCTGCTAATAAAGCCTGATATTTCTCTCAGCAGTTGGTATAGACCAAAACAGAGCAGCGACTCCAAACGAATGCTAATGTTGCTACGTGTTTGCTGGATGTGTAAACAGACAACTGTTTTCCAACAAGTTCTCTACATTAACTTTGTGATGTGATAATATATCTGTGTTGTGTGTA